ACGAAAACATGGCAGGGAGGGGTGACCAAGGCGATGGTTCCAAAAGAGAGTCTGGTGCGAATAGACCATTGGGATAAAAGGGCTTGTTCAGTAGCGGTTCAGTGCGCCCATAACCCCTTTGGACAACGAGCCTGTAACCCTTCCCTAGGATCAATCGGGGATCACCAGTAGACCTCTGACACCTCCCCGCACTGGGATGCCCAAAGTGCACACACTGGGATTCGAACCCGAGGCCTTCACTCTGATACTGTGTCAAGAAGCTGAACGAGAATGATTGAATTGAGATAGAATTGAGTACAAGTGCTACCCCTAATTGGGTTGTACCCCTTATGGGCTACCCCACTATAGCCTACACAATATAAGCATTATAACATTTTGACTGTGATGAGTGTAATAGCGACCAGCGCAAGCGCCAGTGTTAGTGACCTCCACTGCAGCGCGCACGCCAGCGCAACCAGCAAGAGTGCCAGCCCCTTCACCCTCTCGTCGATCTACCCGTCGCCTAGCGGCCTGACCACGTGCATGCGGACCTGCCAGCACGCCAGCGGACCTGCCAGCATGCTAGCAGACCCGCGTGGGAGGTGCTTGGGGTTTGGGCCGTCGTAATCTTTCAGAAACATCACCCGCGCCCTGCCACGCCTCTCCCGCGGCTGCTGCTATGAGGGGGAGGTGGCGGGGATGGGGGGAGAAGGTGAAGGGGTGGCGTGAGTAAGCCAGCAGCACCAGCGCCACTACAGCCCCTACCCGCGCCCCGCCCCGTCACGTGTTGTGCCTGCCCTGCTGCCTGTGCGCGCAGCGCTATGCACGCCGCCATGCACGAGCAGAGCAGACGCAAGCAGAGCAGCTGTACGCGCACCCACAGCTGCCTACACACCAAGAGCCTCGCGCAACAGCAACAACTTCATGTGCCTTCGCTATGCAGTACTGCCCATGCTCCTGCACATGCTCCATCACTATACCATTCCTAACCGCTACTGACCGCTCTAGATCGCTCTCCACTGCGCTAGGCCGCATTTAACTGCACTCGACCGCACCCGGTAGCTGCAGTTGCACACGTATCTGCTGTCTCTCCCACTCGCCTCCTATCATTGACGTTTCTCAAGGCAGCTTGCAGCCGTAGTAATTTCTCTGGGAGAGTTTTGAGCTTCTAGCCTAGTTGTTCCTCGTGTTCGTAGGCTTCGTATTCTAGCTTCATTCGCCACCGTCTTCACCGGATTCTAGCCTAGCCTTCACGCCCCTCTGGCTTGTGCCATAGCATCCACTAGAGTTCTGTAGTACTAGGGCCAGACATAGCGGCACTAGCAGCACTCTCAACAGTGGGGACCTTATGGTTCCAGCTATGGTAAATCCAGCTGGGCGACTCGCAGAGGTGGTCACGATATCGGCCCCTGCTAGTACCGATTCCTGACTGGCCCTGGTGCTTGCACTACCTGCTTGCGCCCTGACCTCTCCTCGTCTCGGTGCTACCCCCGCATCGATGACCTCTACCGTGAGCGTTTTGGGCCCGACACGTCTCTTCCTCATTGGCCTATTCTAACTCATCGTGGTTACTATATGTATCATATGTCTATTTCTTTTCGACTTCTGGTCCAAAAGTAGGATCAGCCAGGGCAACTGAGACTAGAGCAGAATAAGGGATGATAGTGGTGTGGTCACCGAACAAGCACTGAGGCACGCTAGAGTCCAGTATGAAGGAGAGCAATACGTTAGCCGCAGGTACACCTGGGCTAGTAACTACACATACACGTACACTAGAAGCACAAGGCCCGATCACTAGCAGCCGGCCGAGGTCTTAAGGTAGGCACTCGCAAATCAACAGATCCGACATGACTAGAGTCATCAGTTATACCACCCTCCTATGCCTCCGTAGAATGTATAGCAAGCGTCTTGTCTCAAGTCTACCGCGCGTCTTTGCGTCGCTCCCTCTTTCGCCCGTGCCGTTGTGCACTCCTTGCGTAGAGGGTAGGCTGCGCACCACCCCTCACTCCTCTTCCTTTCGTCCGGCCACCGCACCCTTCTAAACTCTCCACTTGGACGTCCGGGGCCCCACCCCTCGCCTTTGGCATGAGGGGGAGAGCTTCTTTCTTGTGGTAATTGAATACTACTCCCGCTACACCACTGTGTTCCCCCTGGCGAAAAAGTCTGACGTGAATTTTAGCCTGATCAGGTGGTTGCTAGCCACTGAGACCACCCATATCCGTCGTGTCACTTGTCCTTACTCCGGCCGTGGGGGAAAGTTTCGCTTTGGCATTCTTGCCAAATTATATAGCGAGCAAGGCATCACCCAGACCTGGACGCTTCCAGAGTCCCCACAGCAGAATGGGGCTGCTGTGCGCCGCATAGGCTTGGTCATAGAGATCGCCCGTACCTCCATGATCCATGCCCATGCTTCCCATTTTCTGTGGCCCTACACGGTTCGCTACGCCGCCCACCAGCCGAAATTATAGCGTTATGTCCCGCGGCCAGGAGCTTCACCGACCAGTTGGACCGGGTCCTCTGGTGTTGCGTCGCAGTTTCGTGCCTGGGGCTGCCTTGCACTTGTCCGCGACACCTCTGTAGACAAGCTCTTGGCTTGCGCCCTCCTCAGTGTCCTCCTTGATTTTTCGGTGGGCTCCTCTGACTACACATTTTACCACTCGCCCCTCCACCAGTTCCTCGACTCTTGCGACGTCCAGTTTGATGAGTCTATGTCCTAATACGCCCGGTACCCCTGCCAAAGTCTCCTTGTTCCCCCCCTCTCCCCTTTTCCTTGCCCCCACTCCTCCTGCTCCCGTTCCTCCGGTACACCCGCCCCCCCCCCCCCCCCCCCCCCACTCTTGATCCTGCCTCGCCTGGTGTGTCCCACGCTAACCCTCTCCCCTTGATAGAATGTCAGGTACCATCCACTTCCCCACAATTGTCCTCACAGTCACCACAAGAGCCTTCACCACTACCGCGACATGGTGCAGTGGACTTTGGGGGTGTTGGTGTTGGAGGCACGGGCACTTAAGGTACAAGTTCTAGGGGTGCAGGAGCTGAGGCTACTGGCACTGGAGGTGCTAGTTTTGGGGGTGTTGGAGGATGAATATGGCCCACACCCATATGCAGCAATACAGTAGAATACAAGCTGTAATATAACTTTGGTTTCCACTTATTGGAACATATTGTGAATAACCCAGGCCCCATAAGATCAACAAAGACAACCCATAAGGGTTCAAACTAAATCATTCAAGTTAAGAACCTCAGATTTTAGTGTCTCCACAACAACACGAAAATTTGTATGAAGAAACCAATCCAGAGTGCTTTGACTTGAGGTCTCTTAAGGATTTTCTCCCAACACTATTTCCACACCAAATCTTCCAATGGCACTCGCCCAGTGATGATATCAGGGTACATTCCTCTGTCGACACAAGAGTCACGTCTACACATTTTTTCAACCTCGCGTCACAAAAACTGAGTGTATCGAGACACTATGCGGCAATGCGAAATGTACATTTGTGCGAATTTGATTGGGTGACAAGGGTGACCAGGCGAATGGGAGTGTGATCTAGATGCGCATGATTTTTTCCCTCGCGAAATTGGCACTGTGGGGTGTCCAAGTACATGTGGTCGTGTCGGGCATTTCGAGTCGCGTGCGATTTTTTCGAAGTGACGGGTCCAGATGCAATTTGTCAGCGACGTCAGCGTGTTTCACGCTGACCAATTAGAAATACGGTACAGGATTGGTTGCTGAAACGCGACTCGCATTTGGGACACAATACGGTTTATGCTGTTTTTAGGTGTCACAAAGCGATTGAGACACAAATGTCGACATAGGAATGCACCCTCAATGCTATCTCTCATACAAGCCATATCATCCGAAGCACCTCCAATGGATAGCACCTGCCCCGTCACTTCCCTCTCCTCCCCATCCATGGTCTCCACCCTACCATCTCCCTCCTTCCCTCCTTGACTATGTTGACTCAGTTGACTTAGTTTCCTCATGCTCTTGCTTCTCATCAACATCCCTCCCTCCCACTCCCCTTCCTCTTCCTTCCCTCCTTCCCCCACTCACACCACCCCTCACTCCACCATTACCTCTCCCCTCTCCCCCACTCCCCTCCCCATCCCTCATCCCTCTCCTCTCACTTCTCACAGCCCAGCACGCAAAATCTGGATGACCAGCGTCGTCATAAACCATAGCCTTTGCTCGAATCCCCACTCCCACTCCTCCTGCTCCCTCCCCTGTTCTTTTACCCCCCATTTCTTCATCCACCAATCTACCCCCCTCTCCCCCCAGCTTGACCAGGAGTGGAGGAGGTGAGGGGAGACGGAAGGAGTTGAGGTGGTGAAGTGAGCGGATGAGGGAGAGAGATGTTTCGGGGGGAACTTCATAATCAGCAGTACTGCACTGAAGGATAATGATGGGGAGGAGAGGGGCCGAGGAAGGTAGGGAGGGAGAAGAGGGAACTAGAGAAGCAGAGGAGGAGGAGGTGGAGGAGGGACGGGAGGATGAAGACAAGGAGGGGAAAGAGGAGGAGGAAGGAGAAAGAGAGGAAGAGGAGGGGGCGGAGGGGAGCAGGCTGAGTTGGCCAGACAAAGAGCAGCCACAACAGCTTCAGCAACACTCCCTCCCAGCTCCTGCCTGAGAATGTCGAGAGGAGAGGGAGAAGAGGGGGCAAGAAACCTGGAGGAGAAGCAGTCAGAGGAGAGGGGGTCCGCCTCTTCAGAGGAGGATGCTTCTTGATCGGAAGGAGGAGATAAGGCGTTTCCTGCAGGGGGAAACAGTGCTCCTGTGGGAGCTTCTGTCACCGCTGCTGCTGTAGCTGTGGAGGAGGAGGAGGAGGAGGTAGAGGCAGTGAAGGGAGGAGCGACGGTGATAACTTGGGCTGGTTGCAGTGGTGAAGATGCAGGCAGGGATGGTGCTGGAGGTAGCATGGTCGCAGCTGGTGTGACATCAATTTGTGTGGCATCAGCTGGTTTGGCACCTTCCTGTTGCTTGAAAGGTGACGAGTTGAGGAGGTGGGATCGAAGGGCCTGCTTCACTGCTTGTTTTGATGTCGCTCTGTTGACTGCGTCTGCCACTGAGGTTGCACTTCTCCCTCCTGCGGTGGCACTTCCCCCTCCTGCGGTGGCACTTCCCCCTCCTGAGGTTGCACTTCCCCCTCCTGAGGTGGCACTTCCCCCTCCTGAGGTGGCACTTCCCCCTCCTGAGGTGGCACTTCCCCCTCCTGAGGTGGCACTTCCCCCTCCTGAGGTTGCACTTCCCCCTCCTGAGGTTGCACTTCCCCCTCCTGAGGTGGCACTCCTGCTGTCGCTTGACCCAGTGAGAACACCTGCAGCATAGCTTGCTTCCGACTTCCGGTTGGACACTGTTCTTCTGGCCACCACAAAAGCAGAGCCTACTGACTGCTTGTCTACAGGTTCGTCCCTTATACTTGTTACTGCTGATGCTCTTGTTGCTGCTGCTCCTGCTGACAAGGATGAAAATGACGGTTGTTTTGCACTGGGTGATGGACTGTGGGAGATTGCACTTTCAACGTTCGACGAGAGGGTCACTGGACGAGGACCACCTGCTGACGTGGCGTCTGAACACTCTGACGTGGCGTTGGGACCAGCTGACGTGGCAAATGAGTGGGGTGACGCAGATTTGAGGGCGGCAGGATGGGCCTGAGGGAGGCAGCAGCATCAGCGCTGACTGCTGCTACCTGCCCGAGCGCCCGGCTTCTAGCAATAGCAGAGGTGGAAGGGGGAGAAGGGGCGGAAGGTGCAGAGGTAGTAGCAGTAGTAGGTATAGCAGTGGCAACCAGGAGAGGACTCTTTGGACAGTCAAACGACGCCCCGAACGATGCAGCAGCAGAAGCACCACCAACAACAGCATCGCCATCACGTCCCGCAACTACACCAGCAGCAACAGCCCCTGCAGCAGCAACGGCAGCATCAGCAGCAGCGGACATGAGAGTGTCAAACAGCGGGGCAGGAGAGGATGAGACAAACCGTGCCGGCCCACCAATAGTAGGGGACATTGCAGAGAGAGCAAAGACTCCTCCCCCGCTGGTGGTGGGCTATATCATACGCGTTGCTCATGCCCAGGAAACAGTAGGGCTGCCGCAGATCTGGCTCATCTAGGAACCATAAATCCTCTCTTTTGACGGCGGGCTGTGGCGATTCTCCCTCCCTGCTGGCGCTGCTGTTGACACTGCAGCTGTCAGCCTCTGCTACAGCCGTTGGTGCTGATGCTACATCCTTGCCATGCGCTTGGAACATGCAGCGGAGGGCTGACCTGAAGCGGCGCCAGACAACCATGGAGCAGACGTGGGCGCCTGAGGAGTGGCCCGTGAGGAAGATGCGCGAGGGGTCGCCCCCATACTCGTGAATGTGGTCCATTGCCCATGAGAGCGCTGCTGATGTTTCATGTACTTGGTCTATGGCAAGAGCCTGTTGGTCAGAAGCAGGGTGAACAGCGGAGAAGAAGAGGAGGGGGAACAAATGAGGGGAAGATGCAAGAAGGGCCACCCCCATACTGGAGAATGTGGCCCATGAGAGCGCTGCTGACGTTTCCTGTACTTGGTTGGTCTATGGCAAGGGCCTGGAGGGAAGAGATGATGAAGAGAGGGGTCGGCCCCATAATCTTGAATGTGGTCCATGGCCCAGAGAGCGCCCCTGGCGTTTCCTCTATTTGCTCTGTCGCAAGAGCCTACGTGGGGGGTGAGAGGGAAACGAAGGGAGAAGCCTGAGAGAAGGAAGATGCGAGAGGGGGAGCCTCGCATGAACGGAATAGAGAGGACGAGAGGGGTATGGGGGTGGGAGGTGGGGTGGGAGTAGGAGGGAACCGAGGGTGACATTTGAATTACCTCGGGGTAGAGAGTGTATTGAATGGTAACCACCACCGCTCCGAACTGAGCGAATCGGATCGCAAGGGGAGAATACATCCACTTCTCACCATTCGCCCACACTCCTCCGTGCACAAAAAACAACACCGGCCGCCCCTTGCTTCCTTCATTACAGCTGCTGCTGCTGTTAGTAGCGCTGCTACCAGCAACAATAGCACCAGTGCCACTACTGCTGCTACTGCTGCTACTTTCTCCTGCACTGCTGTCAAGAGTCAAATCTGGTGGCATGTAGATGTCAAGACTGCGGTCGGCAAGGGAGGGACACAATTCATAAGGGTGTCACTGTCTTGAATGACGTCTCACACAACAGAAATCAAGAAATTGGGAAAACCTGTGAATGGGGAATCCAAATCAGACCTTTGTGCACTGCCCATGCCATACCATGCCATCACATTTTCACCAAGATATCCCCCACCTCATCACCATCACCATCACCATCCCCATCCCCATCCCCATCCCCATCCCCATCCCCATCCCCATCCCCATCCCTCCACTTCAGCTCACTCACACATCCCAGGCCATCCCGTCCCATGCTTCGTCATCCCGTCACATCCCACGTCATCCCCTCCCCCGTCATGTACGTGTTGCGCGCACGCAGGCCGTAGCGGATGTCGTAGACCACTTGCACGCCGCCATGTGGCAGACCCTGCCACAGCATCGCCTCCATCGACGACGCCCAGTTCCACACTGAAAAGCAAAAAGCCACGTCATGCCACGTCAGCCCCCGCGCCATACCATATCAGGCAAAGCAAGGCAAGGGGAAAGCAAACAACACAAAGGTAAGTAGTAAGGAAAGGAATAACCGAATTCAACAAGTGGGGAGGGAGAAGTTTTACCAACAGCATTTAAACAGCATCTCACTTAGATGCTGTGTCACTTTCTGTTTTCCCTTCCCTCCTTGCAACCTCCTCTCTTCCCCCCTGTCCTCTCCCCTCCGACTATACAACCTGCTCCATGCCCCACTCCTCCTCCCTTTCCCCCTTTCCTCTCCCTCCGACTGTACAACCTACTCCCCTCATTCCTCTTCGCTTTCCGCCCGAGTTCATCCCTTATTCATCCCCCCGCTGGTTCTACCTGTCGACGTCAGCTGCCTCCGTATCTTCCGGATCCCAATCGCCGACCGCCGAGCCGCGGTCCCGCTTCACCGCACTCGATCTCCCCTTCCACCACATCCCGTTCCCCGCCTCCACTTCCGCCATTGCTTCGCGGAGCTTCTAAGCCACGCTTGCTAGCGCAAAACACGCTCCACTACATCACTATGGCGTGAAACCCGCACGGCGCATTACTGAGTATCCCGACCAGCTCTTTTGTGAAAGTTATCGCGAGATGCGCTCCCATAACGTCACCTGTCGCAGCACCTCCAGCTGCGCGCTGTCCGCCTCGACGAACAAGCTCGCAACCATTTTGCTAGAATCTATAGATTGCGGCAAGAAGAGCAGGACGAAGCGGAACGCGAGGAGCCACGTATAGAGCGGTGTGACCCAAAAAATATTTTACAAAGGAGAAAAGGAGCAGCGTTGAGTGCGGCGGGATGGGTGTGAAGGAAGCGAGAGATTGGGAACGGCGGGCGACTGGGCGAGCTGAGTCACTCGAGACCTTTGTCGCGAGATCGTGGTCGGATGGCCCAAGAGGGATCCCGTGGTGTCAAAATGTTATATAGCTTATATTGTGTAGGCTATAGTGGGGTAGCCCATAAGGGGTACAACCCAATTAGGGTTAGTACTTGTACCCAACTCTTTGCTAGTTCATTCATTCTCGTTCATTCTCTTGACATGGTTTCAGAGCAGGTCCTCCGCTAGGACCGGTTTTTTTTTTTCCTTGGGCCCACCACTGCACTGCCCTTAGCAACCCTCGTGTCGCCCCTTGGCCCGTCGCCCCTAGGCCCGTTGCCCCTAGCCCGGCCCGTAGGCCCTAGCCAGCGCGCCCCTAGCCCGGCCCGTCGCCTCTAGCCCGGCCCGTCGCCCCTAGCCTACGCGCCCGGCCCGTTGCCCCTAGCCATCGCGCGCCCGGCCCGTCGCCCCTAGCCTACGCGCGCCCGGCCCATCTCTCCTGGCCCCGCGGCCCGGCCCGTCGCCCCTAGCCATCGCTCGCCTGGCCCGTCACCTCTAGCCTACGCGCCCGGCCCGTCGCCCCTAGCCTACTCGCGCCCGGCCCGTCACCCCTCGCTACGAGCGCCCGGGCCGTCGCCCCTAGCCTACGTGCCCGGCCCGTCGCCCCTAGCCTACGCGTGCACGGCCCATCGCCCCTAGCCTAAGCGCCCAGCCCATCTCTCCTGGCCCCGCGGCCCGGCCCGTCGCCCCTAGCCTACTCGCGCCCGGCCCGTCACCCCTCGCTACGAGCGCCCGGCCCGTCGCCCCTAGCCTACGCGCGCCCGGCCCATCTCTCCTGGCCCCGCGGCCCGACCCGTCGCCCCTAGCCATCGCTCGCCTGGCCCGTCGCCTCTAGCCTACGCGCCCGGCCCGTCGCTCCTAGCCTACTCGTGCCCGGCCCGTCACCCCTCGCTACGAGCGCCCGGCCCGTCGCCCCTAGCCTACGCGCCCGGCCCGTCGCCCCTAGCCTACGCGTGCACGGCCCATCGCCCCTAGCCTAAGCGCCCAACCCATCTCTCCTGGCCCCGCGGCCCGGCCCGTCGCCCCTAGCCTACTCGCGCCCGGCCCGTCACCCCTCGCTACGAGCGCCCGGGCCGTCGCCCCTAGCCTACGCGCCCGGCCCGTCGCCCCTAGCCTACGCGTGCACGGCCCATCGCCCCTAGCCTAAGCGCCCAGCCCATCTCTCCTGGCCCCGCGGCCCGGCCCGTCGCCCCTAGCCTACTCGCGCCCGGCCCGTCACCCCTCGCTACGAGCGCCCGGCCCGTCGCCCCTAGCCTACGCGCGCCCGGCCCATCTCTCCTGGCCCCGCGGCCCGGCCCGTCGCCCCTAGCCATCGCTCGCCTGGCCCGTCGCCTCTAGCCTACGCGCCCGGCCCGTCACCCCTAGCCTACTCGCGCCCGGCCCGTCACCCCTCGCTACGAGCGCCCGGCCCGTCGCCCCTAGCCTACGCGCCCGGCCCGTCGCCCCTAGCCTACGCGTGCACGGCCCATCGCCCCTAGCCTAAGCGCCCAGCCCATCTCTCCTGGCCCCGCGGCCCGGCCCGTCGCCCCTAGCCTACTCGCGCCCGGCCCGTCACCCCTCGCTACGAGCGCCCGGCCCGTCGCCCCTAGCCTACGCGCGCCCGGCCCATCTCTCCTGGCCCCGCGGCCCGGCCCGTCGCCCCTAGCCATCGCTCGCCTGGCCCGTCGCCTCTAGCCTACGCGCCCGGCCCGTCGCCCCTAGCCTACTCGCGCCCGGCCCGTCACCCCTCGCTACGAGCGCCCGGCCCGTCGCCCCTAGCCTACGCGCCCGGCCCGTCGCCCCTAGCCTACGCGTGCACGGCCCATCGCCCCTAGCCTAAGCGCCCAGCCCATCTCTCCTGGCCCCGCGGCCCGGCCCGTCGCCCCTAGCCTACTCGCGCCCGGCCCGTCACCCCTCGCTACGAGCGCCCGGCCCGTCGCCCCTAGCCTACGCGCGCCCGGCCCATCTCTCCTGGCCCCGCGGCCCGGCCCGTCGCCCCTAGCCATCGCTCGCCTGGCCCGTCGCCTCTAGCCTACGCGCCCGGCCCGTCGCCCCTAGCCTACTCGCGCCCGGCCCGTCACCCCTCGCTACGAGCGCCCGGCCCGTCGCCCCTAGCCTACGCGCCCGGCCCGTCGCCCCTAGCCTACGCGTGCACGGCCCATCGCCCCTAGCCTAAGCGCCCAACCCATCTCTCCTGGCCCCGCGGCCCGGCCCGTCGCCCCTAGCCTACTCGCGCCCGGCCCGTCACCCCTCGCTACGAGCGCCCGGCCCGTCGCCCCTAGCCTACGCGCCCGGCCCGTTGCCCCTAGCCTACGCGTGCACAGCCCATCGCCCCTAGCCTAAGTGCCCAGCCCATCTCTCCTGGCCCCGCGGCCCGGCCCGTCGCCCCTAGCCTACTCGTGCCCGGCCCGTCACCCCTCGCTACGAGCGCCCGGCCCGTCGCCCCTAGCCTACGCGTGCAGGGCCCATCGCCCCTAGCCTAAGCGCCCAGCCCATCTCTCCTGGCCCCGCGGCCCGGCCCGTCGCCCCTAGCCATTGCGCGCCCCGGCCCGTCGCCCCTCGCCCGCGCGCACCGGCCCCTCTCTCTTGGCCCCGCGGCCAGACGCCCTTAGGCCCCCAGGCCCGTTGCCCCTAGGCCTCACGGCCCGTCGCCCCTAGGCCTCCGCCTCGTTGCCCCTAGGCCCCGCGGCCCATTGCCCCCAGGCCTGTCGCCCCTAGCCAGCGCTCCCCGGCCCGTAGCCCCTCGCCCGCTCACCACGGCCCGACACCTAGGCCTGTCGCCCCTGGCCCCACGGCCCCCCCCCTCGCTCTCGGCCCCACGGCCCGTCGCCCCTAGGCCTCCGGCCCGTCGCCCCTTGGCCCCGCGGCCTGTTGCTCCTGGCCCCCAGGCCCGTAGCCCCTAGCCCTGACACGTCGCCCCGCAGTCGCCCCTAGGCCCTCGAGCCGCCACTCTTGCAGCCTGCTGCCTGCCCTGTTCCCTGCGCTGCTAGGCCTCTGCCCGCCCTGCGTGCTGCGCCACTATGGCTTCTCTCCGCGTGCTTGCGTTTGATCACGAGGGACGCCCCTTGCAGTTTGACACGTGGCTCGACGACTTGCAGCTGTACCTGCAGAACGACTCTAGGGACAGTGTTTCGTTGTTTGACCACACGTCTGGCATCGCTCCCGCCCCTCCCGCCACAGGAGTCAGTGCGACTCGTTCACAGTGGCTGAGTCGCAACGCTGCTGCCCGCTTAGCCATTTGCAACCACCTCTCGTTGGCCGAATGTGCTCACTTCGGACAGCACAGGACAGCGCAGACATTGTACGACGCTGTAGTCACTCGCTACTCCTCGCCTGCCACTGCTGCTCTAGGCCGCTTCCTCCTGCCCTACCTATTCCCTGAGCTGACCGCCTTTGCCACACTCGAGGACCTGGTTTCCCACCATCGCGCTAGCGACGCTTGCTACCGCGCTGCCCTCCTAGCAGAGTTCCTTGACAGGAATCCGCCCCCGATGTACATCACTCTCTACTTCATAGGCACCCGCCTCCCTGACTCTCTGCGCTCTGTGAGGGACCACTTCCTCTCCCTTGACCCCACCTCCCTCACTGTTGACCTCCTCGAGCAGCACCTCCTCACAACTGAGACTAGTGCAGTAGCTGTAGGTGCTGCTCATGGCACTCCGCGCACGCCCTTCTTTGAGGGGTGCTCCCCCTCCCCCTTTGCCCCCTCCTACGCCTCTGCTGCTGCTGTGGACGTTCTTAGTACTGAGGATGTCGGGGCTGCTTCTGCTAGTGCGAAGCGCCGCAGCAGCAAGGGCAAGGGTGGCAGGGGTGGTGGAGGGGGCAGCGGGGGTGGTGGTGGGGGCAGCAGTGGAGGTGGTGGCAGCAGTGGAGGTGGTGGCAGCAGTGGGAGTGGTGGAGGGAGTGGGGGCGTTGGTGACGGCGGTGGAGGCAGCGGTGGGAGTGGCAGTAGTGGCAGCGGTGGCAGTGGTGGCGGTAGGACTGGAGCTCAGCGTGGAGGTTCTGGAGGAGGCCAGCGGCAGCGGCAGCAGCGTCGGAGCGAGAGCCCTTCGCCCCAGCAGCTTCGTGA